TGGCAGGCAACAGAATGCACCATACTGGTTGCGGGCATCTACATGAAGACAGGTGAAACGCTCCAGAGTGACGTCAATGCCACGATCCTAGCCCGGCTCTCGGCACTGGCCCAGGCCACGAATCACCCCTTTGTGCTGCTAGGGGATTGGCAAAACAGCCCAGGCAGCATCACCAGCACAGTGTTGCCATCCAAATTCCACTTTGAAGTGCTTTCACCAGATGCCAGCCTCCTGTCAGGGAATGTCATCGATTATGCCCTGATTCACACCAGTCTGGCCAGCACCACGTCACTCACCACAGAGTGGGCCATCCCTTGGCGGCCTCATGCACTCCTGTCGTACCACCTCAACATTGAAGAGGCCACCAAAGAGTACAGACAGATCCAGTACTTCCCACCGCTGCCAGCCACACCAGACATCGATTTCCGGCCATGGACCACCTACAAATCAACTGCCTATGAGCTGGACCTCTATGGAAATCCCGTCAATGAAACTGCCCAATCTTGGGCGGACTGGCTTTCATGCACTGAGCAGTACCTCTTGCAGGAGCACCCTTGGGCTGCTCAAGGCCGCGGCTCCAACCTCAGGGCCTGCCACAAACCATTGACGCCCACCACCACCGTCACTACGTGGAAAAGGGGGCGGCCAGCCTTCTGGGAACAATTGAGAGCCAGGTTCCAGCTGGCGCTCAAACAACCTCCACAGCAAGTACGTGGACCCACCAAAGACTTCATGCAGGCCACTGCTGATGCCTCCAAGCATTGGGTTGGCACTCCGACCTGGGGCCAATTCCTTGACACCTGCCATCATTGGCATCGATACAAAGACAGCCATGCTGCAAAGTTGGTCAGCCACACCATTCACCATCAACTCCAACTAGCACAACAAGCTGCAAATGATGAGAGTCACCTCCAATACAAAGCATGGCTGACACAAGGATACACCAAACGCCTCAAAGGGCTTTTCCGGAGCCTTCGCAGCAGTGAGCTGGCTTGGGAGAGACCATACCGCAATCTGCCGCCAGATGAACGAATGACCCAAAGGCTCAAAGATTGGGGACAGCTCTGGCAAATCAACCAAGACAACCAGCCACCAGAAAGGGATATTCTCCAAGGCCTTGCCAGGAACCAAGTTCAACAGCTGGAGGCGCTCACCATCAGCCAGCTGACCTGGGCTCTTCGACACCCTGCCTGATAAAGCTTGTGGACCAGATGCCGTAACAGCCCAATTGTTACGAACAGCGCCACCTCTAGCTGTCAAGGCCCTCCTGAAACTCTACCAAGAGATGGAGGAAAAGATACAGTTGCCAACACAGCAGCAAATGCACATGGTCGTCATGCTTCCCAAGAATGCGGCCAAAGAGCGACCCATCACACTGACCTCTCTGCTGTACAGGGTCTGGCGTCGGCTCCGCAAACCCCTGCTCGATGAGTGGCAGAAGCAACTTCCAGCAGACATGAACCACGACAAGGCCCGGCCCGGAGCACATGCGCTATATGTGGCATTGGAAAGGCTGTTGCGACAAGAGGTCCACAGAGCCAACGGAAGACACGGAGTGACCTGCTTGGTGGACATGTCAACTTTCTACGACACCATCAATCTGCAACAACTCCAGGCAGAGGCTCTCAAGCTGAACTACCCTCCTCTCATGCTTGAGATGGCACTCCAAGTTTACCATGGACCCAAAGCCATTGTGACAGAACAGGAAATGACACCATTCTTCACCGTCACCAATGGTGTGCCGGCAGGCTGCCCCCAGGCCTGCAACCCTGGCAGCAGACTCACCCAACCATTCACCTCTCTAGCTGGGTGGATGATGTTGGCTTTGACACCGCCAGACCCCCCAAGAAGCTGTAGCTGCCTACAGGGACTTGCATGGAAGACTTCTAAGCCTGGGCCTTCAAGTCAACCCCAAGAAGACAGCATTCGTTGCCACCGACAAAGCCACAGAGCGAGAACTCAAAGCTCTGCTGCAGGACGATGAACCACAAGTGGCACCAGTCATGCGAGATCTGGGCATCGATCACCAAGCAGCCCGAAAACGGAGAATCCCTGTCATGAAACAACGCATCAGGAAGGCCACAGCCCGCAAAGTCAAGCTGCGCAGCTTGAAGATTCCAGCCCTCAAAGTCCGCCTGAGACTCCACCGAGGAGGCATACAACCGGTGGCATTGTGGGGTGTTGAGAGTCAAGGCCTGGCTCCACGGTACAGAGCAGCCCTCCGCAATGGGATGGCCAAACATCTAGGACACCACACCGGAGGACTTCTTGATGTCACTTATGACATACATGCCAAAAGATACATCGATCCCAGTGATCAAGTCCTGATCCAGCACATCAAAGCCATCCACCACCTCATCCAGGCCTGGCCACCAGACCAGATCCAAGCCCTGGAACAGGCATGGCGCCAGACATACCAACAACTCCAGGAGAAGCAGTACCCCTGGTACAGTGTTCGTGGGCCACTGGCGGCCACCATAGTCTACCTCCTTGAATGGGGATGGCAACCACAGGAACTGCTTCACTGGAACCGGCCCGAAACCAAGCTTCTGCTTGCACAGGACCTCCACCTACAAGCACCATGGTGGCAAATCGAGCGCACCCTCACTCAGGAGGCCCAATGGCAAAGAACCACCAGATTGGCCAGCAAACAGCACTATAACAACCTGCTGACAGGGTTGGACTGGCACACATACCGCCAAGTGCGCAAACAGCTCAAGCAGCAGCAGCAGCAGCATCACCTGGACACATGGGTACAGGCGGCCCTCCACTTCCGTGATGCACACCAGACCAAAAGCTGCCCACTATGTGGAGTCCCTGCAACACCAAAACATGTGCTATGGTTGCGCAAGTGGCACAAAACCCAAAGCCATGATCCCATGCCGCCGGAATGGATGAACAGGATCACCAGCCAAGAGGAAGAACCCTTATGGGCCCATGGGTGGATCCCACTTGAGCCGCAGGAAGCACGTACGGCAGCGCACCCTGTTCAAGGCCATGGCTGTTGGGCAAGCCTGCCTGTCATTCCACTCCAACAGCACACAGGCTGGGCCTTCACGCTGGATGCCACACCATCCACATACGACACTCGAAGCCAAATGTGGATTTACGGCCTATGTGCTCACACCATGGAGCTGGGGCAACTGAAACGATTAGGCACCCTCACTGGAGTGGCCAAAAGCAGCCAAACTAAGATCCGTGCACTCCTGGCCGGACTAGTTGCACTCGCCAACCACACCAGCGACCACGTCAAAGTCATTGTGCAGCTAGCCACAGTATGGGAAGCTTGGCACTCCCCAAAGCACCGCAGCCCGTACATGGACATCCTTGCTGAAGTACTACCCCATGACTTCCAAAGAGTCACGGTACTTTACATCAGCAAGAACACCAGAACACCGGATGCACCAGCAAATGAGCCACAGCTCAGAAGGAGGCAACGAGATGCTGCCCTGGCTGCATGGGAAAGGGCAAAAACCTTCTATGATGCCAAGCAAGAAGAATGGCAAGAGACCCTGGATCAAGACCACAAACTGATCTACGAACATGCAGTCAACAGACTCAGCAAGATCTTTGCAGACAACATGCACTATGTGCACCAAAAAGCACCTAGGCACCAGGGCAAACAGACAAAGCAATACAAAAAGGAGCTGGTGAACCGCTGCCGCAAACCGTGGGACGGCAATCATCATCACTGGGAGCCACATCAAAGAAGCGGCTATCAATGCCGCAGCTGCGGAATCAGGATGCATCAAAGTCTCACGACAGAAGTCCTGGAAGCCCGGCTGAACGAAGACTGCCCACAAATGCTGATTGATGATGGTCCCACTACAGCAGAAGCAACAGCACCTCTCCCCAGGAAGCCAACCAGAGCTCAACAGATCAAAAGCCTCCTGGATCAACAACCGGAACACCCGAACCCGGGTCAGCACCAGCTTGCAGAAACCACGGGATACCTGAAATGCCTGGTATGTGGCATCAATATCCACAAGAGAGTCAATGAAGCCGCCTTCAACACCTTCATCCAGAGCCCCTGTGTCAACCAAGCCTACACTCAGGCACACACAGGCCACCCAAGCCATGCACTTTGGCAAACTGGGGAAAAGGTGAAGTGCACCCAATGTGGCACACACTGGAACTTGGATGGCGAGCTCCGTATCATCGCAACCCAAGCTCTCCACAAACCATGTAAAGGAGCTGGCGCCAAGGGCTCACCGCTCACCGCCCATCAGTGACTTCTTCAAAAAGAAGCCAGACCAGTCCAGCAGCCACAGCTCTGACACCTCTCAGAAGCCGGCAGCTATGGAGGCAGTCTCAGCTTCCAGACCAACACCACAAAGACTCAGCTTCCCTACGGAACTAGATGAGCAAGAGCAAGCTGAACTCGCCCAGAGTCTGTCTGCTTTGGCCATGACACCCAGCCTCAATGCAGACAAGCCTGATGACGAAGAGCCTGGCTTTGCTGTTGACTTCTTCTAGCTGCCGAAGGCCACCTGAGACGACCCTGAGGCACAGCTTAGCCGACACCGGCCAAAGGCCTGCGACAAACAAGCACCTCTAGCAAAAAATAAAATATAAAAAAAAATACATACATACATACATACATACCATACCATACCATACCATACCATACCATACCATACCATACCA